ACAGTCATCTACGACCATTTGGGACACTATGATCAAATGGGATAAATGGGTTTTCCGTTACATTTGTGAACCCGTTGCCTTCTAAAATGTTGTAGAAAGCAGGTAGGACTCATTCTTCATAACTTTCTGCTACATAATTACGCAAGGCCAACATCGATACCTTGTTAGAATCAAAATCCTGACAATTTTACTATAAAACCAAAATTCTTCCATCGATGGTCTTGAAATCTTCCGCAAGACTGCACTTTAAAGGTGCTACCAAGATTGATACACCAATCTCGCACTCATCTAGTATTTCAGTTCAGTCCAAACCGCAAAACACCTGGGTGAAAGCACACAGAGATTGAACACATCAAGGTAATGTCACATCACGTTGCAAAAAAGGAAATAATAACAAATGGCCCATTATGTTGCTTTGGTGTCTCTCAGCTAAAATCTTCAATTACACTTGCATCATGGTTGGACATGCTCAATCTGAGAGGGAAAAAAAGAGAATCTCATCAGCTCTAAAGGAAGAATATCTGCTTCAAGTAGTCACTCTCTACAAGGACTCCCAGTCCACTCCGCACACACTTTCTCTCAGAAAGGTACATTCATTTCTAATCTTATCCAAATCTTATCTGCATGATTGGTCATGTCCCAAATGTTCATTTTCGTGTGATAACAAATTTCTGCACTGATCAGAGACTGACATTAGTGAAAGTCCCCCAATATCAAGCCAAAGGCTCTCAAGTGTGAGCTGTAACTGTCACAAAGAGGTGACGACGGTGGCGGAGCGGAGCGGAGACTTGAGCGGAGGCGGGCAGATACTGGTCCCAACAACAAAGAGGTCAAGATAAGGGACCAGGTTGTGGGGGCTGGCTTATATATACAAGGTGGAGTGTGGGAACTATGAGGTAATACTGTATAGCTCAGGCACAAGGAATGGAACGGAACTAATAGAACAGAATGGAAGGTTCCGGAATGATTATTATAGGTAGGGGTGTTTGGGTGGTGTATTGTAAGGAAAGGAAAATAATAGTGTCAGCGACTCGCTAGCTCTCTCAAAAGATAACCAGGCGTCACACGATGAACGATGAGCAAGAGGATGAGAAAAGCGATGAGGATAAAACAACCCAACTACAGGTCTAGCTACCGAGGAGAATAGACGAGAATAGAGCTAAGGAATATAACTACAAAATACTAAGTCTTATATACTATTGGGATATGAAGCCGTGAGAGATATCTTGCGCCGTAACCGTGAGGATCTACAATAAGAGTCGCTCGTATCCATAAGTAAAGCTGTAGGTATTAGGTGAGTAAACAATAAGGCAATATAGAAAGAAGCATGGAAGCGGAACAATAATGACGTCGTCCTGTCAATGAACTGACAGGCACGAGAGAGCTGTGCCTAAGTGAAACGGCAACGTGAGAACAATAAGGTTGACGCGTGTAACCTAAATGATAATGAAAATATAATAAGCGCTAGTGTAAGCGCTTTGGTGATTAGGTAAGTAAATAAAAGAAAAGGAAAAGAATAATAAAAGAAAAGAATAATGAAAAAAGATCGTTTCATGACAAATAGGAGGTGGCTCACTTCATGACAAGAACAAAGGAAGGGATATAAAAGGGATAGTGTAAATCCGATAAGGATGAAAAGAAATAACGAATAATTGCTTTGTGTCGGAATTCCTTCGCGAAGTAATTGCATAGTGGTAACAAGATATAAGTAATATCTAAGTAACAGAATGGATCGTGAAGCTTCATAATGACTTAGCTTGCATAGATATAACAGTATCCCCCTCTTAGGCTTTTGCCCTCAAAAGCCTATGGGATTGTTAATGATTGACGAATCTAAAATTAGATAGAATGGAAAAGTAAAAAGGAAGAAAATAAAATTTTCAAAAAATGCCATGCGATTTATGATTGAGGTAAATGAAAAGTTTGAAGTCGAACCTGCCCTCAACGATGAACGCATATAAAACGCGAGGGTTTTCTCTGTTTTTTCCTAAGTCCTCATCACTATACAATGTCTCTCACAGTTACTGCTACCGAAACCGTGCAAGAACAACGAGCACGACTTGTTCAAGAACAGGCAGAATGCACCCGCCTCCGTCAGGTCAAAATCGATGTGCAGGAGAAAGCATTCGAGGAGGAGATGATGAGATTGGAGGAGGAGGCTGCTTGTGAAGCTGAGCGCGAGGCGGAAAGGAAGAGACTCAAGGAGGAGAAGAAAGAAGCTCGAAGAAGAGCAACAAGCCGTGAGGAGAAAGGAAGAAGAAAGGCTTGTCGAGGAGAGCATCGCGAAGGCGAAGGCCGACGCTTTGAAGAAGCTCACAGAAGAAGAGCGAGTAAGGGGTCAATGCAGAGCACAGGCTCTGCAGGATGTCGTGACATGCCATACAGGATATGGTACTTACTTCGTTTTCTCCTACATTCCCTCTTTCCTTTACCTTTGTGACTACCTGAACCCTTCTCCATGTTTCCATATCCTTTTACTTCCATCTATCACTTGTCAGAACCTTCCATCACATTCCAGACACTTCTAGCGACCTCCCGTGCTGTCGCTTACTCATCCGAACCCTTGTATATATAGTACAGTAGCTGACACCTAGTTCCCCATCTTGACCTCTTGGTCTTTGGAACTAGGTTAGTACCTGTATCATTGTTTACCTTCAATATACTTACTTGGTCTTTGGAACTAGTTTTCCTTGTGTGACCCTAGTGATTGGCCCCTGCGCTATCACTGCCGTCTTGATCATTTTATCTTTCCGCCTTCATGTGTGGTTCTAGCCCCACCCCTCACTTCGGTTTGTGCTTTGAGCCTGTGCTTCCTCTGTGCTTTCTCCCTTCGTCACCACAGAGCGAACCCTTAAACGCATGAAACACATCTAAGATGTGTTGTTCAGTAGGGTCTGGATGGACACTACCTACCCGTTCCACTGGACTCCTAGAATGACTAGGAACGCGAGAACCTCGAGGTGCCCCGGGACCTCCAGGACTATTGGGATCAGATCCCCCTGGGTCTCCGGGATTTCCTGACTTGTCAGGACCTACCTCTTCATTGATTTCCACTTCCTTGATGTTTTCCAGAATCTCCATCGTGGTAACTGGTATCTGACCTCGCGAAGGGCCGGGAGCGTTTGCTAGCTGCTGACACATTCTGTCAGCAAGTGTAAATGTGGTAGGAGATGGTGGGATTTCCATCTCTGTGGTTGGTATCACCATGTGATTTCTTTGCGGTGTTCGTACAGTAATGGGGTCACTGTTTTCTGTATAGAGTACTTGGTACTCAAATTCGGAATGGTCAGGTTGACCAAGGGCGTGATGACTGGAAACCCGCGCACTAGCAGGTTGTCCTGGGGCTGGACCGAAGACATTAGATCATCGTCGAGAATGTCCGGCTCCTGAAATAGATTCCGCAAAGGGCGCGAAGCCTGTCACGTTTGATGCGAAAGGATTAACCGTTTCCGGTTCCTCTCTTACCAACTCGTCAGACCCTCCAGTGTTGGTACGGTTTCATCTGCTCCTTGTATAGACCATTGTTGAAGGAAGTGGAATTGTTGAGTGTAGTGGGAAGGGTAATGAGGACAAATGTGCCGAGTGTCAGTTTAAATATACTGTTATGATCGTGCACAAAGGGATTGTCAGGAATAATCGCGGGATGATCACGGGGAAATGCAAAGTAAATTACTTCGCGAGGTAAAATGATCCTAGACTAAGTAGTCGGACCTTGACTCCACTATTAGTAGAGTCCTCGACACTTCGCGTGTCCGCAAGAGAAGAAAGATAAATGTGTTCTGTTCGCGATGACTATCACGGAATGTACTGACAGCGAGGATGTTTAAAACAATGATACAGATAGAGAGGATTAATTGGTATCACTATCAAAGTGCTATCAAGGTTGATATTTTAAACTAAAGAACTACCTATTCAATACCATAGCTTTATACTAAAGGTAAGTCAGGATCGCGAAGTGATGCCATGCCTGAATTGGTTAGCTCATAAGTCAAGAACAAAGGAAGAGATATAAAAGGGATAGTGTAAATCCGATAAGGATGATGAGAGATAACAAGTAATTGCTTCGCGTCGGAATTTCTTCGCGAAGTAATTGCGTAGTGGTAAAAGGATATAAGTAATATCTAAGTAGCGGAATGGATTGCGAAGCCTCGTAAAGACTTAGCTTGCATAGATATAACAATCGCGAAACGTACTGACAGTGAGGATGTTAAAATGATGATACAGATAGATGATTAATTGGTATCACTATCGAAGTGCTATCAAGGTTGATATTTAAACTAAGGAACTACCTATTTGATACCATAGCTTTATACTAAAGGTAAGTCAGGATTGCAAAGCGATGCCATGCCCGAATGGGTTAGCTCGTAAGTAAAGAACAAAGGAAGGGATATAAAAGGGATAGTGTAAATCCAATAAGGATGAAAAGAGATAACAAATAATTGCTTCGCGTCGGAATTCCTTCGCGAAGTAATTGCATAGTGGTAACAAGATATAAGTAATATCTAAGTAACGGAATGGATCACGAAGTTTCGTAATGACTTAGCTTGCATAGATATAACAGAACCATGACCAACTTTGAGCAGTCATTCTGCATATGCAATATCCTCTTTCAATCCACTGCTTAACCTCTTATTTTCAGTGAGGTGTAAAACTTCTATATCACACCAAAGATATGAGTGCTGAATGCATGCTCCAACTATTTGCTCTCTTTGGCCTTTGCAAATTACAGGAAGAATTTGCTGAAGGTCTCCACCAAGAACTACCATCACATTTCCAAATGGTAAAGTATTTCCTCTCATGTCTTGTATAGTTTTATCTACAGCTTCTTGGCAAAATTGGTTTTGCATTGGCACTTCATCCCAAATAATCAGTGAAACCTCCATAAGCAATTTTGCCAAGTCAGAATTTTTTTTGAATGAGCAAAGTTTGCCTTCAAAGATCTCAATAGGTATTTTAAATGTTGAATGGGCAGTTTGTCAAAGTCAAGATAACAAACAAAATGACCAGACTGGGGATTAAACCCAGGACCACTGGTGAAATCCCAAAATGCTCTAACCATTGAGCTATCCAGCCATGGGTACAATCAATGAACTCAGAGGTTTATAGCACTAGAGCCAAGTCACCTGTCCCAACTACTGAGGTCTTACAACTTTGCCTGGAGGACTTACTTTTGCCTCATGGTCTTACATTATGCCTTCTTGGGACTCTTGGATAGTTATAAACATGTTTTATCAGAGAAGTGTCAGATTGTTTAGATCTTAACACAGTTCAACCTTTAGGAAGAAGAAGGGCTGCAATTCCCAAAGAGATACAACACAAAACAATTTTTTTAATCATCTCACAGTTTATAGCATAATGTATTATATGTAAAAGCCTTTTCAGTTCCAGCAGGACCATGAAGGGAAAACATTTTTGAATTGTTATTTGAGACTGCATCCAGAACCTTATCAAAAGCATTTCTCTGGCCAATGTTTAGGAGTGCTGTTGTTAGTGACTTGCTAGCTCTCTCAAAAGATAACCAGGCATCACACAAGAATCAATGAGCAAGAGGATGACAAAGTGATGAGGATGGATAAAACAACCCAATACAAGTCTGGCTACCAAGGAGAATAAACAAGAATAGAGCTAAGGAGTATAACTACAAAATACTATGTCTTATATATGTATAGGATATGAAGTCATGAAAAGTATCTCGCACTGTAATCATGAGGATATACAATAAGAGTCACTCATATTCATAAGTAAAGCTGTAGATATTTGGTGAGTAAACAATAAGGCAATACAAAAGAAATGCAATGGCAGGACAATATTGACAATGTCCTGTCAACAAGTTGACAGGCACGAGAGAGTTGTATATAGATGAAGTGACAATGCAAGAACAATAAGGTTGACGGTGTAATCTTTAGATCGAAATGAAAACATAATGAGCACTGGTGTAAGCACTTTAGTGATTAGGTATGGAAAAAAAAGAAAAGAAAAAGAATAATAAAAGAAAAGAATAATAAAAAGAGATGCTTTCATAATGCCCAATACTAGTCTAGTTACCGAGGAGAATAGACAAGGATAGAGCTGAAGAATATAACTACAAAATAACCTGTCTTATATACATATGTGAAATGAAACCATGGGAAAGATCTCACACCATAACCATGAGAATATACAATAAGAGTTACTTGTATCCATAAGTAAAGCTGTAAGTATTCAGTGAGTAAACAATAAGGCAATATAAAGGAAGCATAGAGATGAGACAATAATGATGATATCCTGTCAACACAATGACAAGCATGAGAGAGTCACTTGTAAGTGAAATGACAATGCTAGAACAATAAGGTTGTCACATGTAATCTAAATGGAAATGAAAATATAATGGGTGCTGGTGTAAGTGCTTTAGTGATTAGGTAAGTAAAGGGAAAAGAAAATAATAATAGAAAAGGGATGCTTTCATGACACCCAGCCTTGTGTTGAAGAATAATGTCATGATGATCTGTAGCCTCACCAGGCCCAGGTAAAATGACAGCTACCTCAGACACTGTAGGCAGATTATATCTTTGACTGTCTGTTGTATCCACAAAGTGAAGTTTAACACATACAGTAACATTTACAGATTCAAGATTGTCTTTCCATAGTTCCAATGCATTCATGAGCTGTTTGATACAGATCAAACAACTGATTGTTGCAATGTAAGCAATTATCTAAAATAGACATAACATTTTGACATAAACCATAGCCTGAATTGTTTTCCATTCTTTTTTCCAAAGCAGTCTCAGGAGTCATGATATATAGTTAAGCATATACAGAATTGTTGTCTCCCTCAGGAAGTAATGAACCCAAGCTATGATATAGCTCACCCCTGATCTTGAATGGACATATTCCAGATTGTGAAAGCTCAGGATCATTATAAGGCTGTGTCTTCATGCCCAAAGATACAAATGCAAATGAAGCATTATAGCTTTTAATATTTTCCAAAAAAATGCTTTGAGTTGTGATCCTCTCCATTCAGCTGTCATGAAGTGATCCACCCCTATCATTTTCCTTTCTTTACGATACACCATCCAAGCACCCTTTGTGGTGATGAAGGGGGAAGGCACAGAGAAGGCACAGGCTCGAAGCACAAACCAAAGTGAGGGGTGGGGCTAGCACCACACATGAAGGCTGAAAGATAAAATGATCAAGATGGCAGTGATAGCGCAGGGGCCAATCACTAGGGTCACACAAGGAAAACTAGTTCCAAAGACCAAGTGAGTATATTGAGTGTAAACAAAGATACAAGTACTAACCTAGTTCCAAAGACCAAGAGGTCAGGATGGGGAACTAGATGTCAGCTACGGTACTATATATACAAGAGTCTCGATGAGTAAGCGACAGCGCGGGAAGTTGATAGAAGGATATGGAATGATGTAGAAAGATATGGCAGAGTGTGGACAGATCCAAACCGTAACAAGGATAAAGAAACAAGGGGATGTAGGGGAAATAGAGTAGGTACCGTATACTGTGTAGCATGTCACGACATTACCCCCCTTCTACAGTCGATGTCCCAGCAACTATTTCTGTAAAGTTTTCGTAGGGTTGCCAGGGCAAGGAGTGGAAGATGGCCGCTGAAATTTTTCGTGGTGCATTTGGGTGTCTTGTATAAAAATCCACAATTGCATCGTCACTTGTGCCCACTAAGTTTTCTTCATGCTCCCAACTGTTGTGTCCCTCGTCATACCCTTTCCACTTTACCAGGAATTGCAGCTTTTTCCACTGTCCAAAGACCTGGCTGTCCAGGACCATGTCTACATCATAGAACTCCTCTCCCTCCACAATTTCGGGTTCTGGTGGTGGTGGTTCAACTCTGTTAACGTCATTTCCTTTCCAGGGGGTCAGGCGGTTGGTATGGATGTTGTTGTGGATCTTCATCCAGGTGGGTAGGTTTAACTGGTACGTGAGTGGACCTGTTTTCTCTGCAACTTCGAATGGACCTAGGTGTTTGCTCCCCAGTTTTTGGTTCTTTTGCCGCACCTTTAATTTGCTCGAGGATAACCAAACCGGTTGTCCTACTTCGAATTCCTGTACTTTTCCCTTTGCTCCTTCTCTGATGCGCTCTTTGCTCATCCGTAGTGCTGCTTCTGCATCCTCCCGTGCATACTGTAGCAGTTCTAGTTGGCATTCAATGGATGGGTATTTTGTCTTGACACTGTTTGGAATGGTGAACTCTGGGGTATAACCGTAAAGTGTTTCGAAGGGGGAGTGGCTGTGTGTAGAGTGGATACGAGCGTTCATGACAAACTCGGCAGTGGGGATTAAGAGGTCCCAGTTGTCCTGTCGGCGGCTTACATACATGCGAATGTAGCGTTCGATTTCCTGGTTAGCACGTTCCATCTGTCCATTTGTCTTGGGGTGATAGGCTGTGGTCAGGGAGGAGTTGATTCCAAGTCGCTTCAGTAGCTGTCGCATAATGTCTGCTGCAAATTGGGGTCCTCTGTCAGAGATGAATCGACGGGGTAGGCCGTGTAAGCGGAAAATTTCTTTATAAAAGAAATCTGCTACTCCTTCTGCTGTTATCTCAGTGGTGCAGGGGAAGCAGTGAACCATCTTTGTGTAGTGGTCCACAAAGGTGATGATAGCGTTGTGGCCGTCCTGTGTCATAGGTAGTTCCCCAATGAGATCCACGCCAATGTCCTGCCAGGGTCCTTCCGGTACGGGAAGAGGTTGAAGAGGAGAGGGATGGTGGGGGTTCAGGTGTTTGCACTGGCAGTGGTCACATCCATCGATGTACTTGTCTACGAACGAGCACATTCTGGGCCACCAGTAGAGTCTACCGACTAGATCTAGGGTGCCATGCATACCGGGGTGGCCTGTGGTGGGGGCGTCATGACATTGTTGCAGGATTGTTTTCCATAGTGGGCTATCTGGTGGTACGTAGACTTTGTTGTGGTAGTAAACCAAGCCACTTTCCTCTCTCCACTCAACTAGACTGCCTGTAAGACTCTGGGGTGCCTTGATGCCTTTCAGACCATTTAGTACTTCGGCCTCTCGTTCACTGATCTGTCGAATGCGGTCAAGGAGGGGGTTGTGAAGAAGGACCATGGTCGCTGCATTAAGGAAATGCTCTGGTTTCAGTACAATTTGCTCCTTGTTGTCCTCTGCGTCTGTGACTTGGTGCTGCGCCATACGTGAAAGTGCGTCCGCTTGAGTATTTGCTTTACCAGGGTGGTGCTTAAGACGGAAGTCAAACCGGGAGAGCCATAGTGATCATCGTGCTTATCGACAACTGAGGTCTTGGGCTGTTTTCCAGTATTCCAGATTCTGGTGATTGGTCATGATATCGAACGGTTCTGGGGATCCTTCCAAGAAGCTTCTCCAGTCTTTCAATGCTTCGATAATGGCTAGCATTTCTCAGTCGTAGATTTCGTAGTTCTGCTCAGCTGGATCCATGGAGAAGAAACAATAAGCGACCGGGTGCCAGAGTCCATCCTCCTGTAGTTGCGAGAGAGTACCTCCAGTGGCGAAGCCTGATGCATCCACTTCAATCCGGCTTGGTTTTGATGGATCCCATAGTGTGAGGATTGGTGCAGAGGTGAAGGCGTCCCTTAATGATTCAAAAGCTTCCTGCTGTAGGGATCCCCAGTTCCATTTGGTATCTTTGTGGGTGAGGTCATTCAAAGGTCGTGCTTTCTTTGCAAAACCTTCGATGAATCTCCGATAGAAGTTAGCAAATCCTAGGAAACCTTGAAGATCACGTAGCGTTGTAGGTGCCTGCCAGCTTCTGACCACCTCTATTTTGACTGGGTCCATTCGCACTTCTCCTTCACTGATCACTAGACCTAGGTATTCAATGGAAGACCGTTCAAATTCACATTTCTCTGGCCACAGGTACAGGTCGTATTGGCTGAGGCATGCAAGAACGTCGTTGACTACCATGCGATGTTCCTTGACAGTTTCTGTGAAAACTAGGATGTCATCCAGGTAAACAGCCACCTTCCCAGCAGCAGTGAGGTCAGCAAATATGGAATTCATAAGGGCCTGGAACGTAGCCGGCGAGTTTGTCAGACCAAAGAACATAACGAGGGGCTCGAAGAGTCCTCGGTTTG